TTATGTGAACAGAAAGATCCCAAAAGATCGTAATTCTCTGGATCGAGCATATACGGTAATGGGATCTAAACCATAGCAACATGTCCAGCAACAGATGTTCCTTTAGGCATTCAAACTTAATGATGACATGGAAAAAGAACACCGGGCAATATTGTCGCTTATTACCTAATTAATGAGATTGTGATTTAATATTTGTTGTAGGGAGATGGCTCATGGCATGGTGGATGCTTGGCATTGGCGGAACTGGCTCGCAGAGGATTGCTCTTACCAATCAGTTTTTCTAAAGTTGTTCCTGTCATCATAAAGGTACAAATTTAAATTTTAATTAAGGTACAGTTTTTCTAAAGTTGTTCCTGTTGAGGAAATTTGATGAAGTAAGTTTGCCACAGGCTTTACATTATGATATTCGAAGAGGGCCTCATAGTGTGGGATCTCATGTACGTGATGCTGCGGCATATGTTTGCTGGGCTTTTGGCCGTGCATATTACCATATGGACATGAAAGATGTGCTCTCACAACTCGCACCACATCTTCTAACTGTGGCATGCTATGACCGTGAGGTGCTTACATAACAGTGATTTCTTTTTGTTCTTACTGAAGTGAGGCTGAGTTTTATGAGCTTAATGCTTAGGTTAATTGCAGAAGAGCAGCTGCTGCTGCTTTCCAGGAAAATGTAGGGAGACAAGGAAATTTTCCTCACGGCATTGATATAGTAAATACGGCTGATTATTTTGCACTGTCCTCCCGTGTGAACTCGTATCTTCACGTTGCTGTTCATATTGCTCAATATGATGGCTACCTTCATCAATTTGTGGATGTGCTACTTCAAAGTAAGATCGGTCATTGGGTATGTTCTGCCTGGCTTCCATGTATGTAATCTTTGATTTTATTAATTATTTAACTTTCAAATCTTCCCATGTTAGATTTTGGTGCCCACTGAAGCTTTATTGGCCGTGAAGTTTGTACATAACCGTTATCCTGCCTTTTTTCGCCTTTTTTTCCATATATCAAACACAATAGTAGAAATAGAATATAGGTTGCTTTGGAGTTCAAAATTGTTGATTTAGTCAATTATTTTCCCTTTATTGCTCCTTTCTAGTTTGAAACACAGTTCATTGGCCACAAGAACTTCATTCTGAGTTGCAAAACAAACTTTATGGCCCTCCATTCGTTGCTGCACTCCAATACACAAGCTCTGAATATATTTTCTTACAACTGCCATTACTATGATGTATCCCATTTCCTTTAGTAATATACACAGCGATAGTATTTGCTTCTGTTTTCATGTTTTTGTAATTGCTTTTTGGTGTATGTATCTAATGCTTGTGCAAATTATGTTGGATCTGTAGGACAAGAGTCTGAGAGAACTTGCTGCCACCGCACTTTCTGCTCTTGTGAAATTTGATCCTGAATATTTTGCGAATGTTATTTTGGAGAAATTAGCTCCTTGCACTCTATCATCTGATTTATGCATGCGACATGGTGCAGTCTTGGCCACTGGGGAGATGGTTTTGGCTTTACATATGTATAACTACATTCTTCCCACAGGTACTTAAACAACATCATGCTTAGTCCATATGTTGCAAGTTATTTTCATGGTTACAGCTGTTTGGCATCCATATGCACAAAATTTCACATTATATAGCTTTCTAAATTAATGGTGTGGGTCCTTTTCTTTTTAATTTGTGTATCCCTTAAAGACAGCAGGAATTTCTCTGATCTTTAATGCACCTTGATAAAAAGGCAAATAAAGGTGAATACATATAAGCTGATAACAAACTAAAACAATTGTTGAAAAGGGAAGTGGGTTTTGTGGATAATGAAAAAAGTGAAACCTGAATTTTAAAACAGTGGATTGTACATAGGGTTCCACTTTTATGGAGCGTAGTTGCACATAATATGATGCATATTTTTGTTATTGGGCTCGTTTTATGCAGATAAGCAGAAAGTTGTAGCCGGTATAGTCCCCGCAATTGAGAAAGCACGGCTTTATCGCGGCAAAGGAGGAGAAATAATGCGGTCTGCTGTTTCTCGCTTTATCGAGTGCATTTCTCAAGCTCAAGTGTCTCTGACTGACAAGACCAGAAGAAGTTTACTCGATACTCTAAATGAGAATTTGAAACATCCTAATTCTCAAATACAGGTCTTTATCTTCACACTCTACACTAAATCTATTTTGACACATTTTCCTTACATCCATCTTTTTTTGTGACTGTTTGGTTCTGCTTTTCTAGAATGCTGCTGTTGAAGCCCTTAAGCACTATATTCCTACTTATCTTGTGTCCATGGAAAAGAAGGGAGTCAATGATATATTATCAAGATACCTTGAACAGTTGACCGATCCCAATGTGGCTGCAAGACGAGGATCAGCTCTTGCTATAGGAGTTCTGCCTTTTGAATTTCTGGCTAAAGATTGGAAATCAGCACTAACAAAGCTTTGTTTTTCATGCGGAATTGAGGTATGTGTATGGCTGCATCTTTAAGTATCCTAATTTTTCAGCATACCACCTTCAGAAAATATTGAGTTGAAAGAACAAAAGGAAAAAAAGACTAGTTATTTTTCAAAATTTAATATTCCCGTTATATTCCACGAACATCCACTTAAAATTTCTATATACCTTTTACAGATATCCCGTCCTTTGCTATTTGTACAGCAAGAGAGTAATGTCTAGGGAGTGTTTGTTTTTCTGAAATATAAACTGGGCTTTTCCATTGTTTGGCTATAAGGTAATTTTTACCAACTCAATTATTTCCTTTCTGATTGAACATGCAGGATAATCCTGACGACAGGGATGCCGAAGCACGTGTGAATGCTGTTAAAGGGCTCGTCTCTGTCTGTGAGACTTTAACTGAGGCAGATCAATTTTCTGCTTTAATTTCGCAAAAAGACCGCAATTCCCTGTTTAAATTTATCAGGAATGAAGTGATGTGCAGTCTTTTTAAAGCTTTAGATGATTACTCAACCGACAACAGAGGTGACGTGGGTTCTTGGATTCGTGAGGCTGCAATGGATGGCCTCGAGAGATGTACGTATATCCTCTGCAAGGAAGATTCTATTAATCAAGATAACTCGTCAGGTCCGGAACATGAGAAAAATGATGGCCTCCATAGTGACCAAATTGGCTCATATTTTGATGCCAGCTTGGCAAACGAGTTAGTTGGAGGCCTCGTCAAGCAAGCTGTAGAGAAGATGGATAAAATAAGGGAATCGGCAGGAACAATTCTCCAAAGAATCCTGCATAATAAAATGCATTTCGTGCCGAATATACCACACAGGGAAGTTCTCGAACGAGTAGTTCTGAATGAGGCTGATCTTAAGTGGGGGGTGAGTTACATAAAAAGATAAGGCTTAATTACAACAATACCCCTGAGTAACTCCAACTCCTAATATTATGTCAAAAGAAATTAGTTTCATTTATTTATTTGTTTTGTTAATTAGGCTTACCCAAAGGGTTGATTTTAGTAATTAGCTCCAGAAAAGAAAAAAAAAAAACCCAAATGAGCCTCTTATTGCTTATGTTTCTGTCTACTGAGATATATATATCATTCGGATTTTATTGCAGGTTCCAACAGTCTCGTATCCTCGTTTTATTCAACTTCTTGAAGTTGGTTGCTATAGTAAATATGTGGTTTCTGGGCTGGTTATCTCTATTGGCGGGATTCAAGAGTCTTTGGCAAAGGCATCACTTAGTGCTTTGTTAGATTATCTTCAGGGTACAGTAACCAAAGGCCATGATGACTCTCGAGTGTTGTCATTCTCTGATGACATTCTGTGGGTTCTTGAAAAATATAGAAGATGTGACAGAGTCATCATACCTACGTTGAAGGTACTCCAAACGCACTGTACTGAAAAAATCTACTGAGGAAAAGGTTTCTAGCTAAAATAATTCATTTGATAAATGTTGGGTTCTTACTCATCTTTCTATGCGAGTATGTTTTAGAAAATGCTTATTATTTGATCCATCTCTGTTTCAGACAATCGAGACACTTTTCAGGGAGATGTTATTGCTGAACATGGAGGTCAGTGTGCTATTCGATTCTTTTTTATTTATTTATTTATTTTTTTAATTTTTTGAAACACGCTTTTTTTAATTCTTTACATTTTGTAAAATATACATTTCTTTCGGTTGCCTATGCCTCTGTCTTGACGTGGTATGATTTTGTCAGGCACAAACTCCGGTTTTCTGTGCTGGTGTTTTAGATTCTCTTGGAGCAGAGCTTAGAGGAACAAAGGATTTCTCTAAATTAAGGACAGGAATTGCAATACTCGGATATGTTGCTTCAATATCGGACCCCATCAGCAAAAGGGCATTCTCTCATCTGCTGCTGTTCCTCAGCCACCGATTTGCCAAGGTCTGTGTGCTTGCAAAGGAAAAAGAATGATAAAAAGAAATCCAACTATCTTTTAGTTACCAAATTCACTCCCCACATTCCAATTTACATAAAATACACGACTAACTTCGAAAATTACAATAACGTCCTTGACTTTACGTCTTGTCCAACATCTTGCATCATTACGACTTTATGAGCTAACCGAAACTGATGGCATCTAATTCGTGGACAGTTGTATCCTTCTTCATTTCAAGATATATTACAAATAGCCCAGAATTTTGTTGTACATTTTGCACTGCATTGCTAGATTTTCTCATAATTTTACAACTAGCATAAAATATTTGGCTTGCATACATTAAACTGATCACACCAACTGGCGGTTCTATAATTTTTACTTTGGATAGTTAACTAGCTCTTTCTTCTTGGAATTATTATCCTTGTGGTAAAAATTGCACGTCATGACCCAAAATTTTCTCTCCAGATCCGAAAATTTGCAGCCGATGAAGTTCTTGTTGTCCTACAGGCAAACGGTAACCTAATGGCTGAGGACAAACTAGATGAAGCCACAGAGATCATTACACAAACTCTCTGGGACATCAATATAGAAGAAGCTAAGACGAGTAGGCTACAGCTCCAAGAGCTGGCTGGTCTTGAAAGTCAACAAACGGTAAACAGCAGTTGGACTAAATCGGAAAATGGTGTTGAGAGGAAACGGGCGTCGGCTGACGAGAATGCTTCGTACTCCTCGTTAGTTGGGTCAGCTGGTTTTTAGGAGTGCTTGTGTTTGTTCTGTGTTGTTTTCCAGCTTCCCGCTTGCTTGCTTGTTTGGTAAGAGATTTTGGTTTGAATCTCCAATGAAACTGTAGAAATACGATGCATTCATTTGGCATAAATGTGGTGAGGATTGATGTTACAAACTCTTATTTCAGATTTTTTTTTTTTTATTAATAATTTTTATTTACTTTTTCTACCCCACTTTATTGTATGAGACCATCTATTATCAGTCTTTAGCGCTGTTAAACAAATCGATTTGATCCGCTTGTATGTGCAGCTCAGCTTAAGGTTCGAGCTCGGTTCGTGTTGAGAAATATGAGTTTGTACTTGATTTCCTAAACTGAAATATGAGTTTGTACTTGATTTCCCAAACTTATACTTTAGCTTGCTAATTAATTCCAATAAACGAGCCCGAGCTCGAGTATTAGGGGACCTCTAGGTCGTCTTGTCCTTTGAAAACCAACAATGTTCGTGTTTTTTTTTTTTTATTTGAAAATGTTATATGAAATTTAAATTGTATATAAATTGAAAATGTTCATAAAATAATATTACAAATTAAAAATTTGAAATCAACATGTAAATATGTAATATAGTTTACTTATATTAGTTTTATTGAAAATGTTATATGAAATTTAAATTGTATAAAATTACATAAAATTTGTCTATCTAAAATTAGTATACAACTTGTCGGTGTATGTAACTGATAATAAAATACATTATGTTCATTTTAATATAAGTGTCATTTTTAAATTTTTATTCAAAAATTCGATTTGACTACAGTGTGATTCTATTAAATAATTATTTTGATAGAAGTTTATCATATATTTAAAAATCTATGTGAATAATAAGCATAATTATAAAATTTATACTGTTTCATTAATTAAATAAATTTATTTTTGTATAAGCTATTCAAATAAAAAAATTAAGTAGTTGAATAATTTATTAAACTATAAGCAATTGAATATTTCATTTACGTCGAAGTTAATAGTAACTCATATGTTATGAATAATTATTTATTTGACTTTTAGATTTGTTGTTGGTTACTTTGTCGTTAAAATTTATCAATTAATTCTCTCGAATTAAATTATAAATTTTGACTTTTATTAACAAAATATTTTTTCAAAGATCTTACTGATTTTAAAGAAGAATACATGCAAATTTATCGAATTATCATCAATAATTCCAATTTGCCAAATTATCATCAATATCTTGTGGCAAATTATTATGAGAATATGCTGAAATTTGAGAATCATATCACATTGATTTTATAACAAATAAATCTAAAATTCGATTTTCATACACATACTAAATAAAATTCATACCAATTATTTTGTTTTTAAAATTTTCAAATACACTTCTATCCATATCAAATAAAATCTATACCATTTAAATTATGACATTTCATAACAAAATAAAATAGCACACTTAATACCGTAGATTAGGATATTTATTAATAACAACAAATTTCCTACCAAAAATGGTCATTAGATACCTCAAATAAAATCGCTTACGTTATGCCAAAATCCGATTTATTAATTTTGTTAACTTTATGTCATAAATTGATTATTTAATTTTTAGAGGCGAGATCTGTTTAAAATTTTTTTAAAAAATTATCAAGTTTAATAATTTTAAAAATTTTAGAAAAGTAAATACAAACCTTTTTTTAAAGCCTAGAATCAACCGTTGTGGATTGGTTAGATATAGATTAATTAAATAATTTTCACTAAAAATATTACTTTATAATTTACATTGAAAAAAAAAATGTTAATGCATGCTTAAAATCTGCACCAATATTATCTCATCCCAATTTATTTGAAAACTTATTTTTTTTAACAAAATTTTCAAATACACTTGAATTCATAGTAAATAAAATTCACACCATTTAAATTTGAGTATTTCATGTCAAAATAAAATCGTACACTTTAAATCATAAAATCAAATATTTATTAATAATAAAACAAAATAAATATGGCCATCAAATACCTAAAATAAAATTGTCCACTTTATACCGAAACCGGATTTATTAATTTTGTCAACTTTATACCATAAATTGATTGTTTAATTTCTAGATGCCAGATTTTTTTGAAATTTTTCAAAAAATATTACCAAGTTTAGAAATCTTAAAATTTTTAGGAGGAATTTTAGTTTTTATTTCATGCAAATATAAACGTTTTTTTTTTTAATATATATAGGTAGATTTGTAGATGTGCATGTTATACTGAATTTGTCAATTATATTTTGCCGTATAATGAATTCTTGTGACCCTCTCTTTCTTTATTCTTATATTAGTTGTCATTATACTGAATTTGAAGATAATATTATTAGCTTCATTGGACAATCTATGCTTACTGAAATTATATTAGTTGTTTACAGTTACAATTTATTCAAAATATCAAAATAAATCAAGCAAGACCCCAAGTGATCAACAAACAAAAACAGTTATCCACATAGCACCGATAATAACAATCATGGTATAAATTTTCCTGTAATTACACTATTAATGCATTTAATGAAAATATATGTTTTCAATTTTATATATGGAAAAGATATTAATGGATTTAAAAAAAAATTATATGATTTATTACCTTAATAAATCAGCCGCAATTACCTAAATTGTACCTTTAATACATACCATAAAATGTTTAAATAGTTTCCAGATTTAGTAAACAATATTTTTTATGCGGGAAATAGTTACTATTTTAAAAATAATCAAACTTTTTTATATATATATATAGATAACAATTTTTTTTTATTATTATTATTTTTTTTATTTTTTTTTTACCTACGAGAACGTCCGTAGCTTAAAATCAACTAAACTCAATGCAGCCACAAACCACAATAGTTATAATCTAAGCTTCTACAAGTAGAAAATTCTAAGTCAATAATGGAAAATAAACCCAAAAGCAAAAACACAAACACACACTAAGCAAAAACACAAAACACTAGCTTAACTAGAATAACACCCTTTCCACCAGTTTGCAATCCGCTTCGCAACAACACCATGGGACCGACATCCAGAGGCTACCACCCACACAGACAGAACTCTAACCCAACTCGTAAATTTAGAAACTCCAGTATAACTACGGCTTACTGGATCATAACAAATCAGACCAACATCATCTCCCAGACGACAACCCCCAAAACCCAAAGTCGGAGGTCCATGCCAACCTCCATCCCAAACCAACCGGCGACACCAGACACCAACCCACACATGTGCGGCGAACCTATCTACCCAACACTAGAGAAGAACATGAAACAGGAAAAATGAGGAAGATGACCTCAACCCCGACTATAGCAGTAAACAAACCGAACGTTCGCGAACAAAGGCTCGTTCGTTTGTTATCGAGCCGAGTTCGAACAGAAAATTAGGCTCGTTTAGTAATCGAACGCACAAGAACTCATTTGCAAACGCTCGATAATGTTCGTGAACATTAATTTAATAATTTATTTTATTTTTAATACATTTACACAATATTTTTAATATAAAGTCTAAAATATAAATTAATCAAACATATATAAAATGTTTATATATGTTTAATCAATTGTGTTATAAAGTCTAAATATTTGTTCAATCGAACGAACAAATTATGAGGTAATCAAACATATATAAAGTGTTTATGTATTAAATTGTTCGAACACGAACAAACTCGAACTTTGACGAACAATTAAGCGAACGAGCTCTAACACAATTTTAGTGAGCTACAACTCTTATCTGTATAATTTTTAAATAAACTCAGTTATTATAATTTTAACATAAGATTTATAGTTCCTTTACTTTATTTTTAATAACTTATTGTTTATTATTTTTACATTAAAGTAACTCTAATATATATGGGTAAAATAAATAACCACCTTTTGTTTATCAGACCGTGCCAATTAGTTTACATGTGCCCCGTACTTGCGGTCTTGTACAGGGTGATTTATTTATTACAAAACAAAAAAAAATATGTGGACAAAAACAAAAAAAAAAAAAAGAAGTGGAAAAAAATCAAAAGCACGTATTCTTAGAATACGTTTTTCTAATAAAAATTTATTAGAAAAACGTATTCTCGTAATACGTTTTTCTAATTTTTTTTAAAAATAAAAAAAAAATATATTTCCGTTTAATAGTGGAATAGAATTAAAAATAGTAACTATAAAACGTATTTTCGAAATACGTTTATAAATTTGAATTTACCAATAAAAAAATTAAAAACTAAAAACGTATTATACGAATACGTTTTACAAATAATTCATAGTAAAACGTATTCTCAGAATACGTTTTACTATAAAATAT